CGCACAAAGCTGACGGCAGCCTTTTACAACAAAAGCCAACACTTTTCTGGGTCGCCAACCTGTTTCCGGTTTTCGTTTCCTTTCATAACATAAAGTCAAACTTTGAGCCACAAAAGGAGTTTGTTCAAAAACGGTGAGCACAGGCAAAAAATAATCTTACAATTCAGATGTACGCTGTGCAGAAGGAAAAGTGATTTGCCCCCCACCCCCCCTTGCCTCCCAATCCAATGTCTCATTCTCTATCCACTGGTACTCGATTTCTTTTCACTCGGTTCGGGTCAGCCGTTGAGCGCTTTTAGGTTGCTGCGTGCCGACTCCTTTCTTCTTTGATTAAATCACGTCACTATTTACAAGGTTAAATGTGATGTATTTCTCGACAGCACACAGCCACAGCGTTAGACTGTCGCATTAAAGCGATCAACAGAATACATAATGTAGTCATGGGCTGTGCACGATACTCGGTTTACTCAAACTGGATTGTGCAGTTTGGATCAATTAAAAAAAAAAAACACACAAAAAAAAAACTGCAGTGGGCTGATCATTAGGTTTTGGCAAAAATGGAGGAAAAAGAAAAAAAGACACTGATATAAATGTTTCCCGCATAATGAGTCTGGATCCCTCAAGGCTTGCACACGGGATATCATTATTATTTGAACAACCGCCAGTCAGCATTAAAAGGTACGGTTGTGTTGCGACTGCGTTAAACACTGTTGAAAAGTGAGATTGCATTCCCGTGTCGTCCAAACGTGACAACGCATCTGTGAAGTGGCACAAAATGGTTGACGCTCGAACGGGCGCAAAAAACACACACAAGCGCCCAAATAGCGCCGACATTCCTCCCCACCAAAATCCGGCGCCGGTACACGCGTGCCACCTCCAGATGATAAATATCCCGTAGTTGACACTCAAATGGAATTAAGGGCGCAACGTGACCTTGTGTCATGAGCCACATGTCGCTCCACCTCCAATGACTCGAAAAAGCACGCGGCGTTTGCGTCAATGGTCAATGTCAGACGAAAGCCCAGGCAGCGAACTCCTCTTGCCATCGGGCCACCATCCTTGGAGCGTTTTGCCGAATAAACGCTCGAGTCTAGCTTGTGTGTGTGTGTGTGTGTGTGTGGGCGAGGCCACTGCACCCCAAAGTGACAGCTTGAAATGATCTGAAGAGCACTGAAGCAAAGCCTCGAGGTTGCTTTTGCTCGATAGTAGCATCAGCGCCGCAACCGCTTTCCGTCAGCCGCTATCTCGTCAGTGTGTCAGCAGCAGACAGTCACGGTGCGACGGCAACCATCAGAGCCCAAAGAGATGCGGCGGCTGCTAAATCTTCAAATCTGTCTTCAACGCAAACGGTTATGTGTGCCAGATT